CTTTGGCCACCTAATGAGAAGGAAGGACTCCCTGGAGAAGAGCCTAATGCTGGGAACAATTGATGGCAAAAGAAGAAGGGGATGGCAGAGAATGAGGTGGCTAGAAGGGGTCACTGAAGCAGTTGGTGTGAGCTTGAGTGGACTCTGGGGGATGGTGGAGGACAGGAAGGCCTGGAGGAATGTTGTCCATGGGGTCACGATGGGTCGGACATGCTCTGCTGGGCTGTTTGAATGAAGGGCATGATATCACAACATATTTTATATTTCTCTTCTCCCTGGCTGCAGAGCCCCAGATAAAAGGGATTATATTCCCAGGGTAATGACACCATGCCACTGTTTAGCCATCTTTGGATACACGATAACACCACATAGCCTATTCAGAGTGGAGGCATTGTTTCCTCTAAGTAGGCAAACGCTTTGATCCTCACTGAAAATTATCTTTAAAAGGGATGCTCTTCATTGTCAGGCAAAAGCTTTCACAAAAAGCACTCCTTTGTTTCAGCTCAGACCAGTCTACCTTTAAGATTATAGTTGGAGCTCAGCTTCATGACCCTGACAAAGGAGTGCAAGATTAAGACTGCAGAGACCCATTGAAAGAACCTCAAGTTCCTTGATGGAAGGATGGGATATGACAACAATTTATACTTACTACCATGCACTGAGTGTAATTATCTTTGGTCTTTCTATAACTAAATAACCAAAGCACAAAAGATTGGGTCCAAGCTAAATTAGTAATACTTAGTTCCATTAAAATCAAAGAAACAATCTACTCATGATTTCTCAGCAATTTTAGTGGAATTAAAGCATAACTAATTTAATCTAGACCCTATCTAATATAACTTCCATAATTAATTAAGATATATATCCTTGGAGATTTCTAAGGTTCCATGAAATTATAATAAGCAGTACTCAATCTATTCTTTTGTGCCCATGGGACTAACTCAGCATCTAGCATTTCCTATGGCAACCCCATAAATTGGCATTTCTGGTCCTTTCAATTGCTTCCTGCTGCACCAGCAGTAGGTCCCACAAGTATGTGGGCAGCAATAGATACTGCCCAATAGGTATTTTTCTAGTTGCACTGCTGGATTCTGGCCCTTCCTCAACAGAGCCATCGTTATAATTACCATCATTACCAGCCAGCAGGCCATGATGAGAGCTGCAGGGTTCTGTCTTAGAGAAACTGGGAGTTATCACTATCATGTGTCAAGAACAGTATTGGCAGCAAGAACATGTGATGGACAATGGAAAGGTCTCTGAAGAACACCTGCCCCTTCCCAGTTCCTTGTTTGCTACTTACACCCTTCAGAGCAGTAGAACCAGGAGGAGTCACAAGATAACTTTGGTCAATACCATTGACAGTATCTGCTGCTGTGGTCACTAGATTCCACAACATTCTCCTTGTGGCATGAGGCAGTCCTCTCTCCCAAGAATCCTAGAGAGCTGCAGAGGGCACATGACAATTCCATGATGCATCCTGCAACAGCTTTGGATATTACGTGGAAGCAATGTCATGATACCAGACTCCAGTTACTTCCATTTCCCTTTTTTATATGTCCAGAATGATGTGAACAAGGAAGAGGAGGTGCAAGGGCTCTGAGTTAAGGGGTCAGGATGGGAAGAGGCATAGGAATAGTGATAGGGGTTGGGGCAGGGGTAAGGACGGACAGGCAGAACCAGCTGGCATATCTGGGAAATCATTGTTTTGTGTTCTTACTTTAAAATCTCAGTTTGAGGCATTTGCTGGGTCTTTTTGAGGAGCTGTAAATCTGAAGTTCCAAACCATTGGTCAAGTACAGCTCTCTTTGTTCTCTGTTCTTTTTCTTTTTGGCAATTTTCTATTAACAGCTGAAGTCCATAGAAGTACACCTTTGCTCTTCTTGAATTAAAAGTGCCTACGTTTTTCAAAAACTGTTAGCTAATCTCTGGGGCAAGAGAGATTACAAAATTTAAGATTTAATGCCAAAAGGGGGTCAAAACAATGGAATTGCTTACAGGATGTTGCAGTGGATGTATTTGCTTTAAAACTTCTGACCATCTCCCCGACACTGACTGACAATATCCCAAACAGTTGAAGAAGCCAGCTCTTTACCCACTGTTATTTTCCATTTAAGCTGTATGATACATACATCTGTTTTAATTATTCTGCCTGCCTGGCAGAAACATAGCAAGCCCAACTTCTCCGTCAGTGCATATCCATACTGTTGAAAACCACTGTTGAGTTTCCACTTGTCATGAATTTGTACATTTAAAGAAAAGGTGTTTAGGGAACAGTGTTCTTTGGTGAGCAGATACCTTGAGCTTTATGGCACATTATTACATAAACAGCAGTACACTAAAAAGGCAAATTCCTAGTGCATATGGTGACGATGCACTAGTAAACAGTAACTATACAAAGCAATGTGGGATGGTAATACATAAAGCAAACATTAAAACCCTCTGAGAAGTAAACAGTCCAAATGATTTTTTTTAAAAAACCTAACCAATATTTGATTTCACAAATATTGAAATATTCCACACCCAGAAAAAATGATGACTTTGTCCAGATTGTGCCATTTACAAAACAAGGTCAAATATATTGCAAAAAAGCAAACATAGCGCATCAATGGGGCCCAGTATCAAATGGCAGTTAATGAGTTTCAGTCTACCTAGAATCTTATAGTGAGCACTACTGTGGGACATCCTTCTGAGAAGAAGTTTGACACCTTCTCAAATTGGATGGCGGTAACTAGTGGATGCCACAGGGTTCAGTCCTGGGCCCAGTGCTCTTCAACATTTTTATTAATGATTTAGATGAGGAAGTACAAAGAAAGATAATCAAATTTGCAGATGATACAAAACAGGGTCTAATAGCAATAGAAGACAGAATGAAGATCCTGAACATTGGGATGAAAGCAACAGAATGAGATTCGATAAGGACAAGTGCCAAGTCCTTCACCTAGGAAAAAGAAACCAAATGCATCCATCCAAGATGGGGGAATACATGGCTCAACAGAACCGAAAGACAAAAAGACCACAGAGTAATTGTGGACAATAGGCTAAATATGAGCCAACAATGCAATGCAGCCACCAAAATGGCAAATGCTATTTTGTGATGCATCAGTAGAAATTACTTCCAAATCACGACAATATTCCCCTATACTCCCCATTATATAGCCAGACCCCATCTGGAATACTGTATCCAGTTCTGGGTACCAAGATTTAAGAAAGATGCAAAAAAATTTAGAAAGGGTCCAGAGGAGGGCAACATAAATGATCCAGGGTTCAGAAACACTGCCCTGTGAGGAGAGCCTGAGAGAACTGGGCATGTTCAGCCTTGAGAAGAGAAGACTGGGGGGGGGGGCATGATATCCCTCTGTAAGCACCTCAAAGGCTGTCACAAAGACAGGTCAGGATCTCTTCTCACTGATGCCAGAGTGTAGGACACGGAATAATCAGTTCAAGTGGCAACAACCCAGATTCAGGCTGTACATCAGGAAAACCTTCCTCACTGTCAGAGCAACACAACAGTGGAACCAGCTGCTAGAGAAGTGGTGGACTCTCCCCCACTGGAGGCATTCAAAAAGAAACTGGACAGCCACCTGAGTGGGATGCCGGAAATTGGTATCCTGCAACAGCAGGGGATGGACCCCATGGCCTCCATAGCCTCTTCCAACTCTACCATTCTATGATTCTGTGAACTGAGAGTGCAACCTTATACATTTCTACTCAACAGTAGGCTCCACCGAATTCAGTGAGACTTACTCCCAGGTAAGTAGATAGAGGTCTCATTGATGCCTGAAAAGCCTCCAAGCAGACATTCTCAGTGTCTACAGGGTGCAACCCCACCCAACCCCTCATTCCTTAGGTAAACACTCCTTTGCTCCAAACTTCTTCTTGAGAGACAAGGAGCATCTAGGCAACGTATTACGGACCCTGTTTCATCCTTACCTATGTGCTCCCCTTTGATATCTCTGCTCCTCAGCTGCTCTCTACAAAGCCATTTTTCACCAAAGGAGAACAGCAGAAAGAGAACAGGGTACCTCTCCCATGGTACCCTCTGCTTCTTTTTGTTTCAGTCTTTTCCTAATTAGTGAATCCTGGATAGTATTACTGTCCTGATACCTGTGATATCCCTGGTAACCAATGGTAGCATTATTTCTAGTACCCTAGTGGAGGACCCAATACTTTCAAAGGAATAAATAAATACAAAGTGTCTACAACAAATACTGTCCCATTGGGTCTAATCTTAGCCCTAACTAAGCAATTTCCCAGGAGCTCCTTTGCTGATCCTGTCTGGGCCATAAGAAGGCCAGCATTTAGAGCAAGTGACACTATTGGAAGGCAGATGTACTGTTGGAAGGCAGATATACATAGCACAAGCAAGAAAAGGCTACCAGAGTTCAGCCGTGGAGGCCAGGCATACGGCGTTTTGCCAGCTCATGCCAGGCGTTTTGCCAGCTCATGCCAGGTTAAGGCATTCTAAGGTTATGCTTGACTAGCCTTCCCCAAGCGGGTGCCCTCCAGATGCACTAAACTGTAACTCCCACCGTCCCCAGCCACCAGAGTAGAGGGGCAGATCGGTTAGGGAGTGGAAGCCCAACACACCCGGAGGGGGGCTTCATCGCAGACTTGCGGGGAGAACGTGGGGGCAGCTTGGTCGAAGGCGACAAGAAAGGCGAGCACTAATCCTTTCTGATGGCCGCTGGCGGCGCCACGGCGCAAGCTCCGGGCGTCGGGAGCAACAGCCAGGAGCTGAAACCCAGCGAGGACTGGGCAGCCTCCCAAGCTCCCACCACCCTTCTGCCAAGGCTAAAGAAAAGCTCTCAGCCGCGGAGAACAGTCCGGGTTTGACAGCACCGAGCCCTTCCTCTCAAGTGCACACGCGCCATCCTCATCCTCATCCCCATCCCCATCACCTGCCGCCTCCGCCTCCCCCCAGCCCGCGCGTGCCCTCTCATCGACCACCCTTCCTAGGAAGGCCCCCCGTCCTTCGCCTCTTCCCCGATGGCGGAGCCGACCTGAGATGCCTCCTCCGATCACGACCACGTCGCATTTGTGGCGGCCGCTACCGTAGCCGCTGCCGCTGCCGCTGCTCATGGTTGCCTCTCTCGCTCCGACTGGCCGTGTGCGGGGCGCACCTTGCTTCTTGCGCCGCCGAGGCTCCTGGATCGACTGCAGTCCGGGAGAAGCAGCCCCAGCCGGCAACACGCCCCTTTTGCTCCGCTCAGCGGGGGAGCTCCGCCCGCTGCCGTCTGCCCGGCCTGCCAAAAAGCCGCACCAGAAGGGCCGGAGAAGATCCGCGGGGCTGCCCTTCCGTCTGGATCAAGTCTCTCTCCAGGAGGTCCTCTTGCCCCTCGCCAGTAATGGAGGCGGGGCACTCCACCTGCACTGGGACATGCAGGCCAGACAGAAAATCAACAGGGAGAACTCCCTGACTGTGGAGATGCACTGAAATGGGGAAAATTTCACCTGTTGAATTCTTGCGTATTCCATAGGTAAACCTCAAAAGCCCTGGATCCCTCTAAACAAACAAACAAACAAACAAACAAACAAAAACCTGGATAGCCGAAACAGTAATGGCAGACCATCGTGATCTGTCTTGCATCTGCCATTACCTTGCCCAGTCCTTTGCAATGAAGCAGCGCCATTCCAGCAATCACAGACACGACTTCCCTGCCGCAAACAGAGCAAGGTGATCCTCACTCTTTCCTTTTGTCGGTGTTGGCCACAAGCTGGTCCCTATCCCCCCACTTGCTTTTGCCATCCCTTACAGGTGTTCATGGACATTGCAGGCTCATCACATCCGTGCCACATCCGTGCCACGTCACATCCATGCTCACTAGCATCCAGCTGTTTATTATAATGCTTTCAGAGAGCTTTGGCTATGGGTGGTATGGAACGCTAATAATAAATAAAAAATTCCTTCCTGGATTTCCTTCAAGTATTTCTGGATATCCTGCAAAAGCCAATTCCAGATAGTCCAATGTAATTGTGCCACCATGGCATCTTTTCCCCTAGTGTACTGGCCTCATCACTACCACAAGGTTTCCTACCTGCATCCCATAGTCTCACTGTCAGCCCAGCACTTACGGTTTTTCTTTATACCACTTCCTCAATTATGCAACATTTGTTCTCCCCATAGTTTCCTCTCCTGCTGGCATTCTAGGCCAGCCTTCTCCAGTTTGGTGCCCTCCATTTCTGTTGGAGTGCCACTCCCAGCCCTTCCCAACCTGCCGTGATGCACTCGTGGTGTCATTCCCCAAGATGTTGCTCTTCAGTTTGGAATCTCCACATGTGATGTCAGCATTTAGGCTTGCTAAGATGTGGTGGGGGCACATGAACACATGCTCTTTCATGATATCCTTTGACAATTGCCATTGTCTGCTATGGAAATAGGTAAAATACAAAGCCAGTTGCTTTGTGGGTGTTTTAGCAGAATTTCAGAATAAGATCACTCTTTGCTCTATGGACTACAGCAAGGTTTTGACTGTGTGGACCAGGATAAGCTACTGGGAGAAATGGGTATGCTTCAGCACTGTTTTGTCCTGATCTGTAACCTGTTTCATGGATAAGAAGCTACAATTAGAGCGGAAAATGGAGGAACAGAATGGTTTCAGACAAGGGTGTGTTTTCTCTCCCTATTTGTACAATCTGTTTGGAGACCATATTACAAGGAAAGCTGGATTAGAATCAGAGGTAGGAGTGAAAATTGGAGGAAGAAATATCACTAATTTAAGATTTGCAGATGATACCATACTACTGGCAGAAAGTGGCAATAATTTTTACTTCCTGATAAAACTGAAAGAAGAAAATAGAAAATCAGGACTGCCACTGAATATTAAGAAAAACAAAAATCTTGTCCACAGAAGATTATACTCTATAGTCTAATTATAGAACATTGCCATTAATAATGAAGAAAACAAAACTGTGAAAGATTTCACATACCTCAGTTCAGTCATCAGTTCAAAGGGAGACTGTAGCCAAGAAATTCAAAGACTGAGACTTGGAAGGGCAGCAATGAAGGAACTACAAATTACAATCAAGAGTAAGAAAGTTGCACTGGAGACAAACACCAAGATCATTCATAACCTTGTATTCCTGATTGCTATGTAATGGTGTGAATGCTGAACAGTGAAGAAAGCTGACAGGAAGAAAATTGATGCATTTGAAATATGATGCTGGAGGAGAGCTTTGCGAATACCCTGAACCGACAGAAAGGCAAACAAGTAGGTCCTAAATCAGATCAGGCCAGAGCTTTCCCTAGAACAAAAATGACAAAACAGAAGCTGTCGTTCTTTGGTCAGGTCATGAGAATGAAAAACTCCCTGGAAAAAACAAGCTTGTTCGAGAAAGTCGAAGGCAGAAAATGAAAGGGCAGACCAGGTATGAGATGGACTGACTCCATAAAGAAGCCACAGCCTTGAACTTGGAGGGGCTGAATGGAGCTGTCATGGACAGGCCAATTGGAGGGCCGTTAGTCATACCGTGTTGTGTCCGATAGACCAGAACATGAAAGGTGGGGCCGGTTCGCTGAACACAATAACAGGAGGCGGCTGGCACAATAACAGGGAGTGGCTACGGGTAGCAGGGGGCGCATTGATATGCAACACTGAACCCGCTACATGCAGCAAGGAACGCTTTGATATGCAACAAGGAGCTTGAAAAAGCAAATTTAACCGCAAAATTTGAGCTTCTGTACTTCATGCTTGCTTAAGCCACTTGATACTTTCCCACTTTCCCACTGGCGCACAAAGTAACGGTTAGCGCCAAGTACATCCGGGTAGAAAATGTATAAAAACTGTACCATCCCTATACCAGGGACCGCACTCCTCTCAGAGTGTTGGTCCCTGCGCAGGTATAATAAGGGACCCTTCAACTCTCCATACTTCTTGTCCGGTGGTCTCATTCGATCGCGCTACAACAATACAGTTGCCATAAGCAGGAGATGAATTGGTAGCACAAAGCAGCAGCAACAGCTCTTGGCTCACATTGTTGGTGTGCCTATCCAAATAAACAGCCTTTTGTATGCTGAATATAATCTATCTGCTTGGGTAAACTTTCTCACTGGATTTCTTGTAAATTTACCATGTGAGTGGTGTTCCCCTTTCAGATATAAGAGGCTTTCTTCTTTCTGAGTTGTTGTTGTTTTGGTGGGGGTAGGGGATGGGTACAATGAATTTCTAACTGGATCTTCACCTTGGATTGTTTAGGAACAACTACCATTTTATGTGGCAATGCAAGGCCTGGATGTATATGGATGTCCATATACCAATAGTATGAGCTGGAAGAGAACTCTTTGAAACAGATATGTGCCCCCCCCCACCTCCATCTTTTCTGGATTCAGCTTGGACTTTATCCAACTTATCACACCCTCTAAATTTAGGTTAGGGCTGGCGGTATCTGCATGCTCTAATAATGATAAATAGGAGTATATTAGATTGCACTGGCATACTAGGTGACTCTCAGCCTCCACACTGCAGATGATTTCACTCTGTCACTTCATTAGATGTTGAATAACTTCACTGACCAAAATCAAACCTTCTCATAAGACCAAACTAACATCCTCAAGGGTCATCTCCAGGATATGTTCAGGCAGAAAGGAATACCTATTAAGATTGTCCGCCGCTGGAGCCTTATGGATCCTGATGATCTCCTGAGGGCTTTGGGGGATTTCCCAGTTGATAGAGTGAGCGCTCCTGTCGCTGCCCTGGCCGATTTGTGGAATGGGGCTATGGTCAGGACAATCCACACAATCACTCCTAAGCATCCTTTCCTGCCATGCAGCCCACGCTCAGTGCCATGGTATACACCTGAACTGCAGGCATTCAGGCAAGCTGGGAAACAACTAGAGAGCAGGTGGAGGAAATCCTGAGACAAATCTGACCAAACACGGTGGCAAATATCCTGTACCTGGGCAAGGTGCTCGAGCAGGTAGTGGCTGGACAGCTCCAGGCACTCTTGGAGGAAACTGACCATTGAGACCCATTTCAATATGGTTTCAGTCCCGGCTATGGAAACAGCCTCATGGAACACAACCTTCATCTGAGGTTTTGGGCTGTGGAGTCATCAGTACACTAATGACACCCAGCTCTACCTCTCTTTTATATCTAATCCAGGTGAGGCAGTGTCGGTCCTTAATCGGTGTCTGGCTGGGGTATTGGGCTGGATGAGGGTCAATAAATTGAGGCTTAATCCAGACAAGATGGAGGTCCTGTTGGTAGGTGGTTCAGCCTTCCAGGTGAGTAATTTTTGCCCTGTTCTGGACAGGGTTGCACTCCCCCTAAAGGACAGGGTTCGCAGCTTGGGAGTGCTCCTTGACCCTGGCCTGTCCTGGAGCACCAGGAGCTGGCAGTGGCAAGGAGCGCTTTCCTTCAGCTTCAGCTGATACATCAGCTGCATCCTTCTCTGGATGAGCAGTGCATGGCAACAGTGACCCATGCTCTGGTAACCTCCCATTTGGACTATTGCAATACACTCTATGTGGGGCTGCCCTTGAAGACAGTCCAGATACTTCAATTGGTCCAGAATAGAGCTGCCAGGTTATTAAAGGGGACTGGCAGATACTCTCTTATCATGTTGGTCCTATATCATCCACACTGGCTGCCGATTGAAGTCAGGGCCCAATTTAAGATGCTGGCAATGTCCTATAAGGCCCTAAACAACTTGGGTCCTGGATACCTGAAGGAGCACCCACCCCTTGAGATCTGAGGCAGAGGTCCTTCTCCAGGAGCCCTCTTTGAAAGAAATTAGGAGGGTAGCTACTTAGAGAAGGGCCTTTTCAGTGGTGGCACCCCAACTATGGAACATGCTCCCCAGGGAGGTTCACCTGGCACCATCGCTTTATTATGTTCAGCATCAGGCAAAGAGCTTTTTATTTTCCTAATATTTGAACGGTTATTTGGTTTTATTTGGTTTTATTCTAGTTTTTATCATCATTTATCAGATGCAGAGTGTTGTTTGTTGTATCAGGCTGTTTTGTTTTTTGTAAGCTCTCCAGAGACTTTTAGTCTATAAAAGCATAGCACAGACAAACTTTAAATAAATAAACAAACACAAAAATGAAAAGTCAGCTCTAGTGCTATTGGAAGATGCCCCTGCCTGTCCAGGATAGTGATACAGTGTGTGGTATCAAAAGCTGCTGAGATGTCCAACAACATCAGTATGGAAGCACTTGCCCTGAACAC